GCGCAGCACTTTGGCGATGCCGTTGCGAAATCGTGGCAGGCGCAGCACTTTGGCGATGCCGTTGCCGAAGTCGTGGCAGGCGCAGCATTCTGTGCATCTGGGTGTGTGTTTGTGTGGCAGGGGTCGCATTCGGCAGCTGTCTAGAGGGACAGGATGTTGTCGCGCGCGCGGCGGGGGGCGTGCGAAATCGTGGCAGGCGCAGCACTTTGGCGATGCCGTTGCGAAATCGTGGCAGGCGCAGCACTTTGGCGATGCCGTTGCCGAAGTCGTGGCAGGCGCAGCATTCTGTGCATCTGGGTGTGTGTTTGTGTGGCAGGGGTCGCATTCGGCAGCTGTCTAGAGGGACAGGATGTTGTCGCGCGCGCGGCGGGGGGTGTGCGAAATCGTGGCAGGCGCAGCACTTTGGCGATGCCGTTGCGAAATCGTGGCAGGCGCAGCACTTTGGCGATGCCGTTGCCGAAGTCGTGGCAGGCGCAGCATTCTGTGCATCTGGGTGTGTGTTTGTGTGGCAGGGGTCGCATTCGGCAGCTGTCTAGAGGGACAGGATGTTGTCGCGCGCGCGGCGGGGGGTGTGCGAAATCGTGGCAGGCGCAGCACTTTGGCGATGCCGTTGCGAAATCGTGGCAGGCGCAGCACTTTGGCGATGCCGTTGCCGAAGTCGTGGCAGGCGCAGCATTCTGTGCATCTGGGTGTGTGTTTGTGTGGCAGGGGTCGCATTCGGCAGCTGTCTAGAGGGACAGGATGTTGTCGCGCGCGCGGCGGGGGGTGTGCGAAATCGTGGCAGGCGCAGCACTTTGGCGATGCCGTTGCGAAATCGTGGCAGGCGCAGCACTTTGGCGATGCCGTTGCCGAAGTCGTGGCAGGCGCAGCATTCTGTGCATCTGGGTGTGTGTTTGTGTGGCAGGGGTCGCATTCGGCAGCTGTCTAGAGGGACAGGATGTTGTCGCGCGCGCGGCGGGGGGCGTGCGAAATCGTGGCAGGCGCAGCACTTTGGCGATGCCGTTGCGAAATCGTGGCAGGCGCAGCACTTTGGCGATGCCGTTGCCGAAGTCGTGGCAGGCGCAGCATTCTGTGCATCTGGGTGTGTGTTTGTGTGGCAGGGGTCGCATTCGGCAGCTGTCTAGAGGGACAGGATGTTGTCGCGCGCGCGGCGGGGGGCGTGCGAAATCGTGGCAGGCGCAGCACTTTGGCGATGCCGTTGCGAAATCGTGGCAGGCGCAGCACTTTGGCGATGCCGTTGCCGAAGTCGTGGCAGGCGCAGCATTCTGTGCATCTGGGTGTGTGTTTGTGTGGCAGGGGTCGCATTCGGCAGCTGTCTAGAGGGACAGGATGTTGTCGCGCGCGCGGCGGGGGGCGTGCGAAATCGTGGCAGGCGCAGCACTTTGGCGATGCCGTTGCGAAATCGTGGCAGGCGCAGCACTTTGGCGATGCCGTTGCCGAAGTCGTGGCAGGCGCTGCATTCTGTGCATCTGGGTGCTCTGTAATCGCATCCATACAAGGGGCGCACGGTACATGTGTGTGGACATTTGGGAAAAACATAGCATGTGGGGTTATCCGGTCCTTTATTTTCTTGTAAGGTTTTTTATTCTCATCGGGTTGGCTCACACTGGTAGCTTACGCGGGCATCACCCAAAAATTGTGTGGTGTCAGTCTCCAGTTCCACATGGTAGCCGAACTCTACGCGGGCATCAATCAAAAATCGGTTGGTGCCTCAGTTCCAAGGCCAAAAAAACCAGGAAGATCCGTCTCTCGGCGATGATCCGGGTTTTTTTATTCTCAGGAGAGGCGCTCACTGAAGGTCCGTCTCTCGGCGATGATCCGTCTCGGACCATGATAGATTTTTTATTCTCAGGAGAGGCGCTCACCGGGCTGGAGGCAATAAGATCCGTCTCTCGGCAGGCGAGGCGCTCACCGGGTTGGCGGTGGAAAGATCCGTCTCTCGGCGATGATCCGTCTTGGACCAGGATAATTTCTTGTTCCTAGGAGAGGCGCTCACCGGGCTGGAGGCAATAAGATCCGTCTCGGGCCAGGATAGTCTCTTGTTATCAGGAGAGGCGCTCACCGGGCTGGAGGCAATAAGATCCGTCTCTCGGCGATGATCCAGGACATATTTTTTTATTCTCAGGAGAGGCGCTCACCGGGTTGGCGGTGGAAAGATCCGTCTCTCGGCGATGATCCGTCTCGGACCAGGATAATTTCTTGTTCCTAGGAGAGGCGCTCACCGGGTTGGCGGTGGAAGATCCGTCTCTCGGCGATGATCCGTCTTGGACCAGGATAATTTCTTGTTCCTAGGAGAGGCGCTCACCGGGCTGGAGGCAATAAGATCCGTCTCGGGCCAGGATAGTTTCTTGTTCCCAGGAGAGGCGCTCACCGGGCTGGAGGCAATAAGATCCGTCTCTCGGCGATGATCCGTCTCGGACCAGGACATATTTTTTTATTCTCAGGAGAGGCGCTCACCGGGTTGGCGGTGGAAAGATCCGTCTCTCGGCGATGATCCGTCTCGGGTGGAATCGAGCCCGCGGTCTGCAAGCTTCAGAGCTGCAGAGCCTCTTCCAATTGAGCTATGGATGCTTGCTACACTTGGATTTATTCACAGGAGAGGCGCTCACCGGGTTGGAGGCGGAAAGATCCGTCTCGGGGATTTCTTGTTCCCAGGAGAGGCGCTCGCCGGGTTGGAGGCGGAAAGATCCGTCTCGGGGATTTCTTGCTCCCAGCAGAGGCGCTCACCGGGCCAGCACGCGGCTGGCGTTGGCCAGCTGGGGGCAGCGCAGGTAGACCTCGCTGTATGCCATCATGCGCACGAATTCGAAGACCTGCTGTCCACCGGAGACGAAGCTGGGGCCTAGCATGTGGTCGATGCTGAAGGGCTTGGTCGGGGTAGTCCACAGCGTCAGGGAACTGCTGCTGCAGCTCCAGATCGTTCAGAATGAGGCGGTTGCCGTCGTAGGCTACGCTGGGCAGTAGCGAAGTTGGAGCTGATCCAGGCGGCCAGCCGGGAGCCCGTGTAGGCGCCTTCCGGTAGGAGAGCCCAGTTCAGAGTCCCAAGCGCGGCGTCGACCCAGTAGAGGTATCCGCGATTCTGATCTTGTAGACGGCCAGCCGGGCGTCGTGCAGGGACTCTCCCAGGTCGACCTCAAAGTCGCTGTCCGAGCCGGCTACCCTCTTACGGCTGTCCACGTAGATAGTCGTCATCCGTTTTCTAAGGAAGCCGCCCGTTCTGCGGACGACTGGCGGGTGGACGGCTGCAACGGAGGTGCAGCACTGAGCGCCTGAGGCGCAGGAGATGTTCTCACACCTCGCGTTGATCAGAGTGGAGCTGGCGAACAGCTTCTGGCCCAGGAAGCTGAGCGCCGCTCCCATCGGCTTCTTTTTCCAGAGCGAAACGCTCTTCGAAGCGCAAGTAGAACATCTCATTCTTTGGCTTGAGGTAGTAGACGAAGAGGAAGCTGTAGGGGTCCCGAGTCGCCTGCTCGTAGATCCTGTGCAGCTTGTCCTTCGGCAGCAGGGCGCCCAGCTCTTCGATGACGGCCTCCAGCTCGTGCTGGTTGCGCAGCCTCCAGCAGCAGAGAAATTGCTGATTGACCCGCACTGCCGCGCTGATGAGCCTCAGCTTCTGGGAGCTCACCCAGGTGCTGATCTGCAAATGCCTGCCTCTGATGAAGAGCGTGTCCAGGGCGCCGTGGGCCTTATGCAGCTGCGGGGTGTCCGCGAAGTCGTCGATGACTACAAGCACCTGGTAGAGTTTCTTCATTTCCAACTTCTTGGACGTCTCGGTGATCTTACGCTGCCTCTGGATGATGCTCCGCAGCGCAGCCTCGTCCCACTCGTCCCAGTAGGCCTGCTCTTTCTCCAAGGTCCTGCTCGATGTATTCAGTCACCTTCTGCCGGGCACTCAGAGAGGCCGCGCCGGGCGTCGGGCTGCCTGCTCATACGTCCTGCTGCGCAACAGCTTCTCGGGAAAGTGGGGCTCCTTCACGCAGCAGCGGCCACTGGGGCTGAGCAGCGTGCGGCGTATGCAGCGCCCTCCGGCGAATGTGACCGTGCGATGCCAGGGCGCGCTGGCCTATCTACGCGCTCTGCCCCGCCTGGCGCCGCGGCATTGTATCTATGCCGACCCTCCCTACATCTTCCCAGGTCGCAGCATGAACTACTATGGCACGAGGAGGCGGGGGCATGACCTGGCCTTCCACTCGGATCGGAGCTCCGAGACGCGCTCTTCGCAAGCGGATTGCCCTTCCTCGTGAGCATCAACGACGTGCCTGAGGCCTGGGAGCTCTACAGCAGGGCCGGCTCCATCACGAGGCTGTGCTCGGGCAAGAACAGCTCCAAGCCCGAGCTGCTGGTAGTGCGCCGGGGCAATCCTGCTGTCAGCGCAGGAATGGGTGGAGCAATCCTGTTGCCAGCGCAGGATTGAGCGTCCTGACGCGGAAGGCAATCTTGATGGACTGAAGGACGTGCCGCTGGTCAGCGGAATGCGGCAGACCTAGAGGTTGTAAATTGCCTGCAGAGGTGTGTGCTGCAGAGGCCGGGGGTTGGGGTCCTTGCTGGACTGCACAAAATCGTCCAGGTAGAAGTGGCTTGTGACAAACAAGGTGGCCTTGCGGTCCGGCTGGTCCAGGGGCAGCGGCTCATTCCGCTCAAGGTATGTGAAAATAATCACCTCTGATTGTATGTGGATGACCTGATTGCCCGTGACAAGTTTGGAGATCTGTGCTTGGTGAGTTTGGTGACGTTGTTCATCCCAATAACTCAGGAGGAAATGCAGGAACAAGAAGCCAAACGCCGAATAAGGAGATGGAATGCTGGAATTGTGGAAAGAAGGGACATTTTTCCAAAGACTGCTGGAGCAAGAAACCCTCTCCGGGGGGCAAAGGCAAAGGAGGAAAGCAGCGAGCATTGGAAGATGGTGACCCAAATGTTCATGATTCTGGAAGCTATGATCGTGATCAACCAGGTCCTGAGCTGGTGATGGCCATTTCTGCGCATGAGTTTTCTGAGGAGCACCGAATTCATGATGGTAGGATTTTTCCCATGGATTCATCTGTAGCCGCCGCGAAATTGTGGCTCGTAGATTCGGGTGCGACATGTCATGTTTGTTGCCACCAAGTTCCTTCATTTGTTTACGGTTGTTCGGTCCCATGAGGGAGAGCCCGCCCTTACATCTGCGTGAGAACACCAGATCGAGACCCGAGGAGTGGTTGACCTGAAAGTGCCGTTTAACGGCAGATGGTGCATAATGTCCCGGGTCGTGGTGGCAGATTTGACGTTCAATGTGTTGAGTCCATGTGCGTTGACGAAGACAGGATGGCAAACCATTCTCGGAAAGCCCAAGCAGAGTGTGATTAGGAAGGGATCCGTGAAGATTCCTCTCAAAATCTTGGACCGAGGATGGTGGGCCGTGTCGGATGTGAAGGTGAAAGATGATCCAGTTGCGATGGAAGTTGATGCTCTGAAGAGGGCAAACAGGTTGAGTGCAAAGGTTGAGAAGGAGAAGGCTTCGGGAGAAAGCCAGTTGAGACATGTGGTTGAGAAAGCTTGTGAAGTTGAGCGGGACCTCGACGACAAGGAATGCCCCTGCCACCGCGGAGTGGGGTCGGCGGAGACTCAGAAGAAGGAAACACAGCAGTGTCGCTCTGCTCTTCTCATCCGCCCGGTCTCGGAAACGTCGGCGGTGAAGGAAACGAGGTCTGAGGTTCGAAATAACAAGTATGGACCCCTTTCGTATCTCGTCCGAAGCGTTTGTAGCGCCATGGATGGTGATCCCGGAGTGGTGGAAACCCAGAGTGAAGCCACGACGATCGATCGAGGTCAGGTGGAGAGTCCCTCTCAAACGTTGCACGGTCTAGGAAAAGGCAAACAGGTTGATAAGAGCCAAGTGAAGCCGAAGAGTCAAGTGAAGCCATTGGTTGTTGAGGATCCGTTGGAGGACCCCTTGAGAGGCAAAGGAAACAAGGTTTCAGATGAGGTTGCTGGACGTGAGGTGAGGCGAAAGGCTGAGAAAGGTAAAGGTGTTGGGACACCCTCGGAGGGTGTGGTAGGATTTGATGAATGTTCCGGATGTGTGCCCGTGCTGAGGCCAGGAAGTGCAGCAAGCCCAGAGTGCTTGAAAGTGCATGAAACGGAGATAGGTGGCAGTGTGAAAGGACATGAGGTAGGCTTGCAGTTGAGGTCAGCCAGCATGAGCCAATTTAGGAAGGTAGGCCAAAGGTCCAATCGCTTTGCCCCGCTGCAGGAATCGGAAGAGTCAAGTGAAGCCGTTGGGGTTTCAATTGAGGGAGTTTCTCAAAAGGACCCTTTTGATGAGAGAGGTCAGGAGAAAGGTCATGAGGCTGTAGGTGTGAGCAGGCAAGAGGTCAAAGGACATGAGGTTGAGAGTGAGAGTCAAGCGAAATGCGTGGAGCCGGGGAACCGAGAAGTGGCTGAGCAACCGACTGAAAAGGGTGAAAAGGGAGATTCAGAGTCGCTTCGCGAATCCGGCATCCTTAAAGGCAGTCGCCTCAGCCGCCGAAGCTGTAAGAGAGAACAGATGCTACCGGCGCGCGCATCAGGTCAGCATGGATTTGTTCGGGCTGGACACCAAGAGCAACCTGATCAGGGAGACCAAGAGCGCACAGGAGGTTCGGCTCATCTTCCAGCTCACGGGAAGTGGGAAAAAGCCCCTTGTCGAAAACGGAATCAAGTGGTGTCACACCGGATTTGTATGTTGAGGGGTTTGCCCAAAGTGATAGATGTAGAAGAAAGAGGAGACTCCGGTCTCTCAGGGCAGGCTGGTTCAAGCCAGATGCCGCAAGAATCAGAAGCAGGGTCCGCCCAACGAGCGCCTGAGCCAAGTGAACCTTGGACGATCAGTGCAAGTGGACGAGAAGCTCAGGACTCTGGCCCTGGTCAGCAGTCAGAAGAACCAAATGTTCCGTTGGAAGATTTGATAGGGACGGATGCTGAAGGAAGAGCGTTGGAGAAACATTTGAGTCAAGGTCATTGGCCGTACATGAATGAGTGTGGCGCCTGTCGCAAGGCCAGAGGACGAATCCCTGCACGTAGAAAGGAACGGGATGAGCACTTCTCTGTCGGGGTGGATTTTCTGTTCTTTGGGAGGCACATCCGTGTGTTGTTGATGGTAGTGATTGGCACGAGCATGATGCATGCGATGGTGATGAAGGAAAACCATCAAGAGAATGTCAACAGGTTAGTGCAAGGACTTGTTGAAATTGGGGCCACTGGGCAGCAGATTGAATGGGTTGGAGATCAGGAAGAGGCCTTAGCTCATTTGATCCGAGATGCAAGTAAGATGAAACGTTTTCCTGCCACAGGATCTCACTGGAGAGCCGCGCCGATCAATCGGCCACAGGCGAAAGCGCATGTGGAGAGAGGAGTACTTTCCGTGAAGGAGGGCTTCTATGCGGTGTGGATGGACTTGGAGAACCGGATTGGGGCTCGGATAGCATTGGAGGCTCCATTGACAGAGTACGCGCTGGAGTATGTAGTGAGGTGTTACAACATCCATCATACTCCAAATAAGTCCGCCATGACCGAATGCGAGGCTGTGTTGGTGGCAGAAAACCCGACACGTACCCGTTCGGAGTGATTGGGTATGGAAAGCCCCAGGACCCTGATAAATATAGAGGCATGAGGTTGGTGCCAATGGTGTACCTTGGTTCGAAGGTGTCGATGGGATCAGGAATGTATGGGTTCCCTTTGGAGACTGTAGGACCGGAGAGTGAGAGAGTTGTGGATTTGTTTTTGGCTTTCAGGGCAACAAGGCCGCTGGTTTGGCAGGCTGAAGCCTTGAGACCTTTGTGCATTCCCGAAAGCATGAGAAAGGAGGGGTCGACCCAGCGATACCTGCCCCAGCTGTGAAGGTACCGGGGATGCCGATCGACAAAGGACTGCTGAAGAGAAGCAAGATTCCTGAGGTGATGGTGGATCATCCGATTGCAGGTGATGTTTCGGAAGGACAACAGCCAGGAGCAGGAAGTGCAGAAGCTGGCGATGGTGGCACTGGTGAAGGACCTGATGACATGGAATTGGATGACGCTTCCATGTATGAGCCGAGTTTGATGGGATCAGATGAAGAGCCAAGAGAATTAGAAGATGAAGAAATGGATGTTCTGATTGAGGCTGTGCGCAGAGAATTGACATGTGAGTTTTCTGGGTCACTACCCATCTACTCCCCAAAATCTTGATGCCCACATTCTTGGCAAGCAGTTTGGCATTATCCTCAGTCATCAGGACTCCTACCTGAAGTTTGTCAAGGGATTCAACTTCAGTTCTCATCCCTTGCTCTACCTGCATCTGCTCCAGTTCCAGGCCCGTCAACTCGTCCAGAACCCGAAAGGGCACCAACAAGCGAACCTGTCCTCCACCAAATCTCACATCAAAACTGGACTGAGCATTTTGTTCATTCACCATCGGCATTCCTTCAAGAAACCGAAGTTTCTCTCCACTCAAGAGCCCTGAAATTGTTCGGTGTAGATTAGTAGTCAAAGATTTCCGCACAGGTGGTGGGCCGGCGCTGTTGGAAGGTATATACTCTCCGACGTCAAGCATTGAGGCGATGAGATTCGTGCTGGCGTACGCTGCGGGAGTACAAGGACATTTGATGACGTTGGATGTGTCCACGGCGTTTATGTATGCTCCACTAAAAGAAGAGGAAGTAGCCATTGTGAGGTTGCCGACTAGTGTGCAATTGCTGAGTGAAAAGGGAGAATCCAAGGAAGGATCATGGTGTCAAGGAAGAGCTCTGTTAAGGCTGTACAAAGCGATGAATGGTTTGAGGCAAGGACCGCTGAGGTGGTTTGAGGAGATCTGTAGGACCTTGATGGAAAACGGAGCTGAGTCGACGTTTGAATCCACTCTGTTTCGGATACCCTGTAGAGATGGGGATTTGATTCTGGTGCTGGTTTATGTCGATGACGTGCTGGTTTGTGCACGAGCGAAAGTTCAGTGCGATTGGGTGTTTGATCTTCTGGCCAAGAGGTATGCCATCAAAAGAACTGGGGATTTGGAGGCAACATTTGGAAGTTTCTGGGTCGTCGCATAGCCCGTCCGTGTGAGCCAGGATGGGCACCTGAGCCTAGGACTAGACTCGGTGTACTTGGAGAACGTGGTGAAATCGTTCAAGGAGAACCTGAAACCCAACAGCACGCCCCCCGACCTCGAGAGGTACTACACGAAAGAGAACCAGAAGTTCAAGGACAGCAAGTTGTCTCCAGAGGCACATTCAAAGTACTGTAGAGTGCTAGGGCAATTAGCATGGGCAGCAATAACCCGATGCGATTTGCAATACTGTGTGAGTTTCTTGGCGCGGTACCAGTCAGAGAGTACGTCCGCTGCGGAATCTACTATGAGGGTGGTTCTTAGATGGATTATGTCTCGACTGACTGTTGTACAGAACTTTGCAGCGGAAGGTTTGGAAGATGAGTTCTTGTATGCTGGAGAGAAAACGGTTGTTGGCTACTGTGATGCTAGTTGGAACGTGACCTCGGTCACGGGATTTTTGTTGTTTTGGAACGGGAGCATGTTGAAGAGTGGATCAAGGAAGCAATCCACTCCGGCGCTGTCAAGTCCTGAAGCGGAGGTGACTGCGTTGGCCGAGACTGCAAAAGAAGGTCTGGCGCTGTCGTGTTTGGTCCAAACTGCTCTTGAAGGAGTTCCGAAATCCCTGTTGGGGGAACCGCTGCAAGCAAGTAGTGATGTGGTGGTCTGGCTGAAAACGGACAGTACGAGTGCAACTTGCATTGCTAGCATGGCCGGTCTGTTGAGGCGTGTAAGACACTTGCAACTGCGAGTGGCCTTTTTACAACAGTTGGTCAGTACTGGCCAAGTCGTTGTTGGGAGAGTCCCAGGGGCTGAAAACCCGTCGGATGGACTCACTAAGGCCATGACGAATGAAATGCTGATGAACATGTGTCGGGCCGCTGGTTTGGAGTGTTTGGACTGGTTTGGGGAAAGTGAAAACATGCAAGAGGCTCGAGTTGTGAAGAGAACTGCTGACCATTGGATGGTTCATGAGGATCAGGTGTTCGAGGAGAGAGAGAGACGGTTGTCTTGTTTGATGAAGGAGGCCGGTGTGTGACACGAGACAATGAAAGAAACGAAAACAAGTCATTGGTAGGGAAGTGGAATGGTGAAACTCGTTTAGCCCGCCGCGCCTCGTGCAAGGAACCTCAATGCCAGTCTTCGGCGGGCTCAAAGAAGACCATGAAACTGGTTTGGGGCCCTGTGGAGGAGATTGAGATCGAGTCCCGAGACTCGGGCATGCAGTCAGCGCTGCAAACTGATGCCCCAAAGATCAGCCGAAACCCTAAGGAGCTAGTGGGAACGGACCTTTTAGAGTCTGGGAAAATGAGTTGACGCGTTTGAAGAAAGGGGTGAAACTGGTCTTGTTTGAGGTTTGCTGTGCTGAAGAAGGCCAGGCGTGGCCCTCCCCCCTCGTACCATAGTAGTTCATGGCGGTGCGACCGGGGAAGATAGGGCAGGCGTAGATAGGCCAGTGCGTTGCGCCCACCAGGCGCAGCAAGGAGCCGGGCGGGTCTTGCCTCAAATAGCAGCGGCGCAGGTTTGCGACGGGCTCGAAGGCGTCGACGCCGCGCACCTCCAGACCCGGGCGCCGGGCGGCAAGGTATACTCTAGCTTTCCGGAACCGAAGAAGGGCGAGCGCAGCACCGATAGGTCGCCCAGCAGCCGGTCCAGCCACGACTTGCTGCCCATGTACTTCAGTCGCATGCCGGCCTTTCGTTTTATCCAAGAAACTGTGGGAGTGATGCCGCAAATATAGCATTTCTCCCAGTCTCGCCGCTCGGCTTCCCGGCTTCGAATTTGGGAAGTAACGCAAAAGGACGAATGGGGAAGATCAAGCTTTTTCCTACGACAGAGTACACCAGTAAGCAGCCCTCGGACCCCGTGGTGCACAGGCATTTTCCTCGGACCTTCCAAATCGGGCAAGACCGTGGCGCTGATCAGCATGATTCTGAAATCTAAAACGCTGCGTGCAGGCGTGTGGCTGCAACATAACGACCCCTAGATATGCGCCGCAGTTTGCCTCCAGGTTGCATTTCAAGCGAGGTCAAGCTTTGCCAAAGAAAACCATTTTTCCATTTTTTTCGGGACCAAGGTCGTTTCCTGGACGGACGAGTGTCAGCTTGGAAGCCTCACAAAGCCTTCCTTTTCGTAGACGACCTTCTGTGCGCACTCGTCCGAGACAGCGCTCCAGAAATGTTTGCCTTCGTGGTGCTGTTCTTCTGCGCCATTGCTGCACCAATTTCGTGGAAAAAAGCGCAATTCCAGGACAGCCTTATTTGGTGTGGCTGGGAGATCAACTTCTCCCACGACACCATTCAGCTCGTGTCCGCTAAACTGACGAAGCTGGACGCCTTGATCAAAGAAATGTTGGGGAGCAAACGGGTACTCCGAAAAGCACTCGAGCAGTGCATAGGCCTGCTCATTTGGGCCACCAGCGTTGCACTGCATCTGAGATCTTGGCTAGCGCCGCTATACTCTGATCTCAACAGCCCGCCAGGCTCAATGCGCTCAATACCACCTCAAATGTGGTCAGCCTTCAGAGCATCCTTGAACAAGGATCTCAAAACAAGCCATAGCCTTCCCAGCCTGTGGATCGCAGTGGGCTCCAAAATTTTGGAAATTTCGGGTCGCGCCATACACTGCCCTCACGACATCCCGCGTGTATCGCAGATCCCAATAACCCTTATACTAGCCTCTCCAAGTCACAATGCCTTACATGGCTGGCTTCGTGCTTCCAGCGCTCGCCAGTTCAGCCCTTGGCACGGCCACGCCCGTTGCAAGCCCTGGCAGCCGCGGATGCGTGTGCCGAAGACGACTTGGTAGGAATAGGGGGCTGGGCAATCACTTCCTCACAAGTGGTTTGGTTTGCCGAAACCTGCGACGTGCGGGACATGCGGGCAGTATGGCCTTGCCTTGTCAAGCCTGGACAGCGGTACATCGCATGCTTCGAGACACTGGCGCAGTTGGCACTGCTGCAAGCTACCCACAGCCATATTGGTGGTGGGCACTACTCGTTCAGCATGCCTTCAGGCACTGACAATTCGGCAACGGAAGCAAGCCTTAATAAAATGTTCACAACCTCCTGGCCGTTGCAACTCCTCGTGCAGTTAACAGCCTTCTGGGCTCGCGCGCGCAACGTACTGCTGCAGCCAACACACGTTCCGGGAAGGAGCAATGATTGGGCAGACGACCTCAGCAGAGGTCGGTTGGCTAGATTCAGCCATTGCCCTGAGAGTCGCGTACGCTTCAGCCCTGCGGCCCTTGTCAGGCAGAGGCATTCAGCTGTATCCGATAGATGCGGCCTGGCGCCCAGAACAGCAGTGCGTAGCCGAGCCCTATTGCATCCCAACATGCATCGCGACCCGACAGCCAACCTTGCCCTGGCAACCAGAATGCCTGGCTGCGTCAGCCAGCAGCTTGACATCAAGCCGCTTTGACTAAAAAAGAGCGGACCCTGAGCGACAGGATGCCCACAACCAAGCGCATGCAATGTCATGCTGACATTTACCCTGCCAGGTGCAACCCCACTCTAAAGGGGGGGTGATGAGGCCGGCGGCCCAGCTGGCTCGCTTATACCGGGGTTGCCTGAACACTGAAGGGGGGGTCAAACCTCCTGCTCCAGGCGCACCCGTGCCCTGGAAGCAGTGCTACTTTCAGCAATCCCGGTAAAAAGAACTGCGGCCGCCTCGGACTTGCATTGTTCTTTTGGGTGGTTCAAGCTAGGAGCAGTGCAACATGCCTTAACTCGCCTGTGCAGCCGACGGCAGCGGTTCACTTCCGGCACTGCGGTGATGGTATTCGTTCTACTGCCATGAAGCGAAGTAGAGCATGCTGCTGGGATGAGCTATTGACTTATTTTTGTCCAGTATCATTCCCTCTCCTTGGTGCGTGTGATCTGGTCGCTCTTGTGGGCGATCGGAGTGGGTACAGGAGCGGCTACATGAGCGGCTACGTTAGCTTTTCACTTTAGTGTTCGCGCTTTATTCAGCTTACACGCCACTGGTGGGGAGCCACCTGTTCTATCTTGCTTCCTGGGTGTTCCTTGCTGGTGCCATTGGAGGAATGGACCGGGAAGGAAAAGAGGAGATGACTTTTTAGAGTGCCGTGAATTTGTTATCGGTTGGTTTCCTGTTTGAGTGTTGCATGTGACACGAGCTTCTTCGCGTTGCCGTGTTTCAATGTTTCAAACAGGTGACTTTCTTTTTAACAGGATTTGTCAACCACATGCGGCAACTGGGCTTGCACGGATTGGTCTCCTGCATGAGTTGACATCTCGCAGCTCTGGCTGGGAGAGGAGGGGGGGGAATCCCCCTTTTGGATCCTGGGTTTTTGTCCCATGGGCCTTTGCTGTTCTCGACGTGGCAATTTACAACTGGAGGCGTCTATATTTGGTGGCCAAGAAACACAGGTTTTGGCAACGTGTTTTCCATTGTGTTGGAATTCGCCTGCAGCGTGGCATCACGCGCCGATTCTTGGACCGCCTGTCTCGCAGTTTTCCCGTGGAGCGTTGACAACCCTGGCTCTTTCAAGGGGGGATTTGTGCCAGAGTTTGGATGCGTCAGAGTTTGGATGGACGACTCTTTGCCGACGAAGAAAGAGAACCTCACGAATATTCTATTCAGGCAGGCGTCGTGCTCAGTTCCAGCAACACATGCAGCTTTGCTTCTTCCTTGGGAATCGGGTCCCCTACAAAGGATTCTGGGAAATGCCCCTGGCCTTATTCCACAACCTGTTTTCGTGCCACAACCTGATGCATCCTCGACTGTGAGTCCTGAAGCACCACGCTCTGTCCAAGCGCCGCTCAAGGTCCCGGTCAGGAAGCAGTGGAAACACAGGTTGGCCTCCAACTCCTGGGCCAAGGAGAAGGATAGGAAAAGGCGCAAGTCGCTGGAAATGTGGTTGCAGATTGTTCAGCGGGACCCTTTTTCAACTACGGTTGGGATGCAGATACATGGCATGACTAACAGTGAGATGCTTGCAGTCTTGGCTGACGTTTTCAGATCTAAGGCAACTGCCACCTTGTTCTCTAGGGCAGGTTCTGTATTAGCCTCCATCCGTTGGGGGATTGCAGAACTGGGAGAGGCCTTCGTCCTGTTTCCAACTGACGAGGGGATTGCGTATGAGTATATCTGCCATCTGCGAGATGAAAGAGCGCCTGCTACGAAGGCGCAAAGATTTTTGCAGGCCTTAGCTTTCAGCGGAGGACTCCTAGGCGTGGACATGAAGGAGACGTTGGGCAGCAGGCGTTTGCACGGTGGGGCACTTCCTGTTGAAGGTTGCAGGTCAGTGAGAAAGAAGGACCCTTTCACAGTGCAGCAGTTGGTCACG